AGGATAACGAGTATGAGTATAGCAAGGCCCGCCGACTTGTGTTTAAGCGATAGAAAACCATACTGTGCCGGACAAAATATGTAGCCAACAAGACTTTCCCAACAAAACTTCCTGAACCTCTGCCAATCATTTTCGAGCTGCACCCACCCACTTTTTAACATCGATTTGGAACTTGGAAAACCTGGTGTTGAAAACACTCAGGAAAGACATGTAAAAGCCTGAAGTCTTCATTCAAACATCAAACCCCAAATCCAAACCTGAAGCACCACAACACAACCCACCACAGGGGTCACAGAAACGGACAAAAGAACAGATCTCTCTAAAACTCATGGGCCAAAACCCTAGACTTCCCACAGGTCCACAAGCAATGGAGGGAGGTAGGAACCTGGACCCCGACGATTACCTTGATTCGCGGGCGGGGGGAGCGTGTGGGTGGGGCATGGGAGTGGTGGCCTGCCCGTCCATGCCTTGTTATTGTGAAGATCCGTTGGTCAGCTCTGGAAATTCAGGCTATAATAAGGTTGCAAATATGCTTGAGGATCATGCACGGACACAGTGGGGTTGGATTTGTCGCGCTTCCTGTTGATGCTAACGCAGGCTTTAGGCTTTGGCTTGCATCAGAAATGTTTCGCACCGAGAATGCCCGCGAATGCTGCGAATTGACTAAAATACAAGGATTCCAACAAATTTCCTGTGCAGGTGTTCTCAAAATCCTGCCCAAACAAACGACCCTGGAACCGTAAGGAAAAGATTCGGAACCGTAAAAAACAGGCCCGGAACCGTAAAACAGCAGGCCGGAACCGTAAAGACGGGCCCGGAACCGTAAATCTCTGAACACTTGTTCCAGGCTACTCATGTTCCTGGCTGACGCACCCCCCTCCTTCTCCGATGGGCATGGCCATGGTGTGTTTCCAGGATTCAAGCACCCCCGCCCCTCCTGCTGGTGGATACGTTGGTGGTTTAACGGTTTGGGTGCTGGGCTGGACGGTCAGTGTGGGTGATCCATGTTACCCTGTGGTGCGTGTTAGTTTGCCATTGAAGCTGATGCTTTGGGGCAGTTCCGGTTTGTAGGTCCCTTAAAGTCACGGTTTGGGTTTTAGGGCTCAGCTGAGGCTTGCAGATCAAGTTTTATCAGGGCGTTGGAGCCATTTTCTAAAAATCCATCAGTATTTGGTGCCGTTACGATGGCTTCAAAAAGCCTTGAGTGCGACACTCGCGGTAAACCATTTCGACAATGTCAGTATGATTCCCAATCGCACTGTATTTTGCAGTGACGCAGACGCGCTAAACACAATATCTTCTGTGCATAGCTTTACATTTGGGGTCTGGTGAAAAGGGATTCGGAAGAAGTTTGCAACAAATCGTTTCGATGCAGTCTCTGTATAAGCTTTGTCAATGCCTGTATTTGTTGTATTGTCATGAGGGTTGGAACTGGCTGTATGTTGTCGGGGTTTAGATGTGAACATACAAAACGGTTAGAAGGCTGCTTAGGCTGCCAGGTTTCGTGAGGCTTTCATGTGGTGCTCCGCTTGGCCACCACCATGTGTACAGTACATATCTCGTGTGGGTGATGGGGTCTTCGTCTACTGGGGTGACGGAAAATCGTGTGAACAAATGGTCATGCCGATATGCGGCAGCGGGGCGCAGCGAAGCTTTCGGCGGGTTTGGCACACACATACGCACGGGCAGCACTGGTTGCCGAAGCTAGTCACAAAGCAAGGCAGGGCCTTGAACCAGCCTGGAAAACAAGTCCCCCAAACCCACGTCCAACCCCAAGCCTCCAAGTATCCATCCCCAAACCTAAGGACTTACGATCCACAACATTAGTGTGCAATATCTTTCTGAACCTGAAATCCTTCTGGGTAGCTCTCGCTCGCGAGATCAAAGGTTGAACTTAGTACAATTTCGAGTCGATGTATATCCGAAATCGGCTGCATATATGGGTTGATAATCTCTTATGGTTCCTACATGTGTTTCGGTTCCTGGATTGGGCTCCTTAAGCGGCCCACCCTCCCTATTCCAGGCACTGGGGCCAGTAACCTGCTATATAGGTTACCAGGAGGGATTGGGTTTGATTCGCTGGACTCCGGCAAGATCGTGGGCGACGACGACTCGTCGGAGCAGAAGCTGAAGCCCTACATGAACAAGTTCCGATTGCTTGGGCAAGAGCAAACGCGACCGCTGCTTTGCAAGATGATTCCCAAAGTGATGTCGTTCTTGGACAAACAGCAGAAGAACTTCAGATGCAAGATAGAGCGTGCTTTCCTGGCGACCCTGCTCGCGTAGCTTGGCTGTGAATCAGTAGTAGTACATGTAAAACAATCTTTCATTCAAATCTTCTTTGCCTCTGCCGAAGCAAGAAAAGTGCAAAACACCTCACTCGCCGTAGGTTCATCACTCACTGCGACGTCAACAGCGCGTTGCCGAGCAAGAGCATGGTCGCGCTTGAGGACTTCATGATGAAGCGCTTCACAGACTACGGCAGCCGGCTAGAAACCTGGGAGCCACGGGGGCCAGAGACGACCTTCCAGGACCTACTCGTTTAACCCGCCTAAGTAAGGCATCCTGCGGCAACATCGTGATTTTCCGCCGCCTGTTCATTGCTCAGCCTCTTAGGCCCAACATGCGGCTGGGGTCGTGAGTCCAAGTCAGTGAAAATTCAAGTTGAATGAATTCGGTTTAACCGTTGCCTTGTTTGTCGGATCGGTTGGCCTTAAATTCACCCAAGCCCAAGAGTCCGCGTTCTCAAGGAGTTCGTTGACGATCCCTCCTGCAGCTACTGGAGGCTGGAGAAGCAGGACGACGGCAAGAGTCAGTTGCGGTACATGCAGACCGACTTGATGTTTAAGCTTCCGCCGGAGATGCAGAACATCGACAACATCAAGGTCATGTGCGCAAGAAACTTCAACACATCCTTGAGTTTCTCAGCTGCAATGTGCGAATCTTTCAGATCAAGTTATCTAAGCACGCGCTTCTCTAGTTCTCTCGTCTATTCAGAACATGTTGAAACCACTTCTTCCAACTCAATTGTTCGTTGCATAGCAATTCCGTCAGGTGCTGGGTTGGTGGACATCTCGGTGTGCAAGATCCTGAATTCCGACATCAACGAGGGCAAGACCTTGCCCGAGAGCCCGTTCTTTCTGAAGGAGTGCCCGACGGGTTCCTCCCCCGAAGCCGGTTCTGGTGATGGCAAGAAGACGAAATCGTGGCAGGCGAAATCGGAGACTGCGCTTCAACCGGCAGCTGGGAACGGCAAGAACACTCCCCCGCGGACGCCGAAGCGCAAGATCAATTCCAAGTCGTCGCCTAGCAAGAGTCCGAAGACCCTCGCCGGATCGCCCGTCAGCTCGATCAAGTCGCCAGCATCAGGAGGGCGAGGATCGCCAAAGTAAGCTTGACTGAGATTGTTTCAGGGGCAAGAACACAGAAGAAGCATTATTATTTTTAACATAAAAAATGCATCGCTGAAAGTTGGTGTCACATGCTTTTGTGTTCTCGGGTTACCCCTGCTTCTGAGTCTTCCGAGACTGTAGGTCAGAGAGCAGGGAAGTATTTCAAGAGCGCCCCGGCCTGACTCTGCCGAATTCCGCTGCCGCTGTTTCTGAAGGCAAGAAATTTTAATCGAGTCCTCGGCCGCTGAACCTGGCAAGTTTTGGCGATCAACCGCCTTGCCGGGCCGTTTGCGATAAAACGCTGCCTTAGTCACTGGCCGCAGAAGTCGCAAGAGAGAAAACGGGTTGCCAGAGCAACAAGCCTTTTGACGCACCTCATTTGTGATTTTACACTCCCGCCCGCCAGGATTCTGCACTTCCTGGACCTGCACTGAACGACTGTCGGGCCCTGGCAAGAATTTTTGCTAATGAGCCAGAGTAACGCAAGAAACTCCGTATTTTTGGAAAGACATTCGCAGGAAATCCCTGCAAGATGCAGAGAAAAAGGCGTGGCAAATCATCATCATTTCATCTCGCTGACATATAAACTTCACAGACTATCCGGGGTGTAGTGTCGTAAATTCTTATTGAAGCTTTTAATATACTTGGGAATTTTAACAACATATCAGAACTTTATCTTGTAACCGAACAACCCACGAACCCCTCACGAACCCCCAAAACGTTCGCAGAAGTTCGCCGAAGGGTTTTTGAAAAAACGAACTTCGTCGAAGGGTCAACCTTTGCCTGACAGACCGTTGCCCCCTTCTGCGTTCCCCTCATCTACACCCCCAAGAACCTTCTTCTGACAATGTAAAGCCTGAAGCATGACGAAAGATCAAGAACATCGAAAATCGCAAGGCACCCAACAAACCTAGTAAAAACAAAGAAAGATCTTCACCCTCCTGAACCTACAGAACGCGGCTCAAGATGCAAGGCTCAAAATTGAATGCAGCAGCCAACTTTGCTTAGATTAGACCCGGAAGCCCAAAGCTACAAATGCCCTTGTAAAGTTGCTCCGCAAGCCCAAGACACCAAACTCCTGCAAAGTCCGGAGGCTCAACTTTCCCTCACCCCAAAATAATTCCTACAGTCCGAAAACCCAATGCCAAATCCTCCGTCAAGTGGATCCGAAATCCCTCAACCCTAAACCTCAAAATTAAGCCCTCAACCGTATAAACCCCCTGAGCCCTTAACCCGGAACCTCCTAAACCCTGTAAACCACTTAACTACGCCCTAAAGCCAAAAGCCTACAGTCCGTCCAAAGCCCCGCGTTTCGCCACGACTCCGATGGCCGATGAGTGGCCGGCAGAGAGCAGCAGCAGGACTGGGGTGTTGCAGGGTTCCTGTGTGGGTTCGTTTAATCAGGAACTTTGGAGATTTCATGTCCGGTTTAGGAACTAATAAGGTCTTACAGGGCTCCTTTAAAGTTCCTTTTGTAGGGATTGACAAGGGGCAAGCCCCCACAACCCCATACTACACCCAAGCCCTGTTCCAGTTAGTCTGACATTATAACCGGATTAGTAAACCACTGCACATAACCCGACTTTACGGCTGAGTCCCATCCTGAAGGCGCATTGAGTGCGGCTGGGCGTGCTGTTGCAGGAGGAGGTGCCCATGCAATCTCCGGTTGCGCTGCATTCGACACACATGAACGCATGGTTTACTTCAGGAGGGCTAGTTCTGGCAAAAGAGCTTCGGCAGACATCATGATGGCTGTACTCAAAATCAGAGCCGAGTCCACCAATACCATAGTCACCATTGTCCTACAAATAACTACCAAGACCCACACCATCATTACCATCACCATCATCATGACCACCACCATTATCACCATCGTCCTCATGAACATGACCACTGTCACGATGATGTTTGTCCTTCTGTGCAGCCTTCAGCGGCCTCTGTCCAGGTGCACCGTCTCTTCAGAGCGAGAGCAACGCCCTGGAAGAGGCTCTCTGGATGGTTTTTTCAGACAAACAGCCTGCTAGTGACCCCAAACCCCAACAACCCCAAGCCCAAAACTCTGAACCCTATTCCCCTTAAAACCCTGAACCACAATCACTTAATCCTTGCCTGAACCCCAAACCCATACCCTGAACATCCCTGAACCCTAAAAGCCTTCAAGCCTTAAGCCCCTCAGCCCTTAAACCCCTAAGCCTCTAAACCACTAAACCCTACCCTGAAGGCCCTAAAGCCTTAACAATTGAGTTCACACAGCAGAGGCGAGGCTCCGCTGCGAAGGCTTGGACTCAGGGCTTCGAAACTTCGGCGACGGATCTGGGAGAACTAAGGATTTACGGGGCTGTTTTGGCTTAAGGTGTATTGGGTTCAGGATCTGGGACAGCTAAGGCTTTAAGTCGCTTTTAACTTTAAGCCCTGTAATAATTCAGTATAAAGGTCATGTTATCTTAAGGGTTTTTTTAGGCATAAGGCTTTTAGGGCTAAGGATCTGGGGCAACTATAAGGGTGGGTTTGGGGCATAAGTCTTACAGGTTCAGGGTCTAAGCTTCAGGGAGAAGGGTTTAGGACTTGAGTTATTCGTAGGTTGAAACAGGATTGCGAGGGTTCAAGATGTATATGGGCGGGTCTCCAGTTGTTACGACTCCCCGAAACCCTGAAGCCCAACACCCTGAACCCTAAACCTTAAACCCAAAAGGCTATAGGCTTTTGAACTTCGGCTCACCCAGCGCCACTTGTGGATAGTGCGAGGGATTCATGTAGACCCAGGACTATAAGGACCTCGGATGTGTCCGTGCGGCTTGGTAATCTTGCTAACTGCTTAGCTAGAATGCGAGTTTGAAGTTTTGAAGCGCAAGACCTCAAGAACCTTTAAGCTCGAACGCCGACGCTGAATTCAATCTGCTCCAGATCAAAACATACTCCTAAACCTGAAGCCTACATCCGACACTTCCTGCCAGCTGTCAAGGCTTGAGAGCGAGGCTCGCAGAAGAAGAAGATGGGTTACCTGGATCGCATGTGGTCGTCCATGGTGGCTCATGCACGCACGCGTTATTCTTTGTTGGGGTAGCTGCAAGGGGTCATGTAGTTTGTAATTACAGTTCAGACCGCAAAAACTAAACCCAAAGCCATGTAGACCCCAGCTCCTATACCCTAAGCGCCTAAGCCATATCCCGAGCCCCGACGAGGCTCCGGCGCCGGCTGAGGCCGTGCCTCACCGAGGCCACAGCGGCTGCGGTGCCAGCGCGTGCAGAGCGCACGGAGCTGCAAAAGGCGACGGGCATTTTAGGTTTATAGCGTGAATGGAGTTCGGTATTAGGGTTTATAGGCTTAATGGATTTCGGTATAGGGGTTAGGTTTTCTGGCTCCGTTGCGTCTTCGGTGTTCTTGGTGACCACTGCTTAGGGTTACACTTCGCGACAAAGGCATCACGGCGTAGATACCCTGCTGAGCCGATTGTTTGACCGTGTATTCACCCGTATAAACCTCAACCCCGAAGCTTTGCCCTTCGAGGCTTTGATTCATTAGTTAAAAGGACTGCAGGTCACAGCATCCGGGTAAAAACCCAGCCGAAGCCTTTCTAGAAAGATCTAGAACCCCAGACCCTAAAAGCTTTAGGCCTCGAGCAACGTAAACCCCAAACCTACCCTGCACCCTAAACCATCAAGCCCTCATAGAACCCGAAATAAGTCATCAACAACGAAACAGCCGGGAGGCCCTGGAAAGCCTCGCCGACGCGCGCCTTCGTGCAGCGCAGGAGGCGCGGCTGCGATGTCTGAGGTTTGGGGTTTGGGGTTTGGGAGTCTTATACGGCTCCGGTCCAGAATTTGTTGCCGAGTTTTGAGACTTGGGATTGTCGGTTTTTCCTTGCAAGCACGCCTGGCAAGCCAAACTTATAAACCCTGTACGGAACTCTAGAAGGTTAACCCTAACCCTAAACCCTCCTAAACCCTCCTAAACCCTCCTAAACCCTGACTCCCTGAACCCTGGACTCATAACCCTGGTTCCAACTGCATCGACCCGAGCTCTTCGAGCCTACGAGCCCGAAGCCCTAATCCGCGCGATTCCCACGTACAGAGAGCGTAGGAATAAGCATAAGCTTCGGGCTTATAGGCGGTTCGTAAATGCTACACCCCTTTTTGAACTTCAACTTCGAACCTAAGCCCTACACCCTACCTGAACTCTATATGTACAAGCCTCTTCCCCGACATGTAGCAGCCCTCGTCGAAACACTGTGAAGAGTATTTCCTGGAAACTCTGGCTTTGAAACAAATCCAGAGCCTATCCAACTCCCGAAATCCTAAAGAACAGAAGATATTGAACAGGTTGGAGCCTGTAGCCTAAAGCTTACACTGGGTATGATTTCTCGGCATCGGAAACCTACAAAGCTGAAAAGCAGAAAGCCCTAGACCTTGCTGCCATAAATTCAAAAGCCAAACAGCCATAAATCTTGCCAGCCTGAAAACCACCAAGGAAGCACAAGAAGACTAAGCAAGATCATTCAATCTTGTTGAGCACAAAATGCAAGAGCACAAAAGCCGAAACAAAAAGCCCATATCATCAACGCGTACAAAAACCTAACCAACATGAATACTACAATAACACAATAATAAAACACAAGCGAAGCTTATTGAAGAGGCCCTGAAGACCCAATTAAGCAAACCCTAAACCCTAAACCCTAAACCCTATGAAGCTTGTTGACGAGGTTGGCGGACTTAGCAAGAAGCAGCTGGCGGAGATCCGACAACTCCTAAGGCGCTAAAGCCCCGAAGGCTGTAGAAATTTCATCAGCGTAAGGCTTTTGGGATTTACCTTAAAGTACCGAAGCCAAGGATTTTTGTGAACTTCTATATCCGTGTGCTAGACTTAGGCAGCTTGGTGGAGTGTTCTGGGTTTGTGGATCAAGGTGCAGAATCAAATAATATGGGAGTTTCCGAAAATGGGGGGTACCGTATTTTGGGAGCCCTTATAACAAGGATCCTATTATTTAGGGTACTATATTAGGGTCCCCCCAATAACGGAAACCCCCATATCGACTCCAGGGCTTTGGGGTTTGGAGGGGTTGAAGGAACAGGGCTTTGGGCTTGTGGGCGGTTGGTGTTAGGGCTTACCTATAGTCTCCATTGTAGTTCCTTCTTTTGGTTAACCAGTTTTACAGTCAGGATCCTATAATAGCTTATTTGTTAAGGTTTATACAGTGTTTGCGAGTTTGTGGTTTTAACCCGGCGATTCCGGAAATTATAGGGGAACATACACCTAAAGCGACCCCAAATGCAACAACAAAGCCACACGGACACGCAATAAGAGTAACACATCGTAGAGCCCTAAACCCTACATCCAAAGCTTCATGTACCCTCAAGCCCTCTAAACCCTAAACCAAGGAGCAACACGTCGTAGAGCCCTAAGCAATCGACGGGAAGGAGCCCGCCGGATCCCGTCAAGCGCACACTTGCTGCTGCGTGGCTTCTGCTACACTGCCTTGCCGACCTGGTTTAATGGTGGTTTTAGGGCTTAGTGTGGGGTTTAGGGTTTAGTGTGGAGGTTGGGGGGTTGTTGGGTGGCGACATGCAAAGCCTTAAAGGAGCCCTTAGAGCCGTGAAGTCCTACATCCGAAGTTTAGGGCTTGTGGCGTTAGGGTGGGGTTCAAAGATTACGGGAGTCAGGGGCCTGAGAGTGGAAGTCCAGAGAGTCGATGACTCAAGACCTTCCCATGAAAACCCGAATGTTGCATAGTGCTGTTCCATATTGGCTTTAGGGTTTAGGATTGAGGGTTTAGGGTTTAGGTTTTCGGGTTTAGGGTTTAGGCTTATAGATTTCCTGCTTCAAAACACAGTGCAACCCTATGCCTTCAGGGGGTCTAGGGCCCCAATTATACGGTCCTTAGAAGCATAGGGCAATATGCCCCAAAGCCGTTTTCTAGTTGTTGAGGCCTCTAGAACACGAATGCTGCATATAAGTGTTCCCTAGATTTCCTTCTTCAAACATAGTGTCCCATGTCCCAAATCCCAAGACCTTCTTCTAGTTGTTAAAGCCCCCAAACTCTACGCACGAATGTTGCCTGCTTGCGGTTCTGCTGGCACCAAAAACCCTCGAGCCTCGCGGCTTCAAGCTCTGTCTACGGTTTCGGGTTTTGGGTGCGTGCGGTGAAGACGCACAGGTGGCTTCTTAAGTAAGTAAGGCTCTATTATAAACCGCAAGCTCAATATCCGAAACCCCACAGTCGGACAATCCTACAGAGGCCCCTCAACCCTCCTAAACCCTAAAACTAAAACCCCGAAAAGCCAACCACCAGCTCTTGAACCTTTCTTTCCCAAAGGGTCCTAGGTAGTGCTATGGGGGAATCTTCCCCAAATCATAATAGTAATTCCTTATATAGAAACCCAACATTCTACTATACAGCTACTTTGGACCCTCTGGGCTTGCCAGGTCACCGATTCAAGGAGAAGCCGGCCAGTGCTGTGCGCTTCGACGAGGTTTGTCGATTGTGTCGTTCAGGTTCACTAACCCTCGGGATCTAAGGACTCATGTATTAAGACTTTTGGGCCCAAAGACCATACTACATAAGGCTTCTGGGCTATTTTGATCCCTAGGGTAAATCGTGGCGGGGGAGGGGGGGGCGGAGGGGCAGTACAGAACCTTTTATCACGCAAATGAGGTGTTGGGGTCTGAATAATGGAAATAACAATTATCCCTCATTTCCTTTTTTGTCCCTCTATGACTTATACTACACTAGAGCTCGACGTTTTCAGGGTTCGAACAACGGTGTTTAGGGTTAGCTCAGCCTACCCTAAAGCCGACAGTTGAGGGCTGAAGGTTTATCGTGTTCGTTGTCGCTGGCCGCAGGGAGCAACTGGCCTTGCGTTGTGCGCAGTTTTGGCCAAAAGGCCACCAACAGAAATGTTGGTACGAACATGAGTTTCCGCGAGGCTTGCTTAGCGAGCTTTCCAGGACTTTGCTCTCTCCAGGGGCGCAGGCAAGGGCTGGGGAGGTCAAAACGTGGCTTCTCACAAGTCCTTCTGCATTCTGTGGCGGTACGGCAAGATGTCACGCTCACGTCTTGTCGTGTGGTTTTCTTGAACAAAACACGGGCCTTTTGCCTATCCTGGGTGCTTCGCACAACGTTCGCATTTCGGCCAGAGACGTGTGGTCAGAGAACAGCTTTCTGAAGGCAGACCGAAGAACACATGCCACTTGGGTTCCTGATTCCAGATGTAAGAGAACACGTGCAGGAACCAGTCCCCAAAGGAAAATACAGAGGACGCCCCCGTGGGAAGTTCTGAAACATAATTTTGGAGAGCTGGCTCTTTTGGCATATGCAAGTGCCCTTATTACTCGTCGCATCGCACCGGTGGGAAGTCTGTGCCGCCCGTCTGTGCATCGAGACACTGGAAGCCCAGTTGCCTGCCCAGGGATCATTACACCATGGTTTCATAAGGACTCTGACCTACTACTTGCGGGGCATGCCCCCAGGAGCGAGAGCCCTGCACTCTTGAACGCAACAAACCTGCAAGAAACCACTCAACCCATATAGTCCTTATGAATCCCAAACCTTACAATCTAAACTAATCCCAAACCCTGAGCCCTACCCAAGCTCCATATAACCCCTGAACCCTACCTTAGCCCTGAACCATAATTAAACCTCATCGAAGCTCTAAAGCCAGAAGCCTACCCAAACCAGAAACCCTAACAAAGCTACCAAAGCACGAAACTCTCAACGCCCTAAAGCATAAACAACAAACCCGAAACCCTAATCTCCGAAACCCTTACAGAACCCCTTCTAGGAGCCCTAAGCCCAAAAGCCTTGCTTCTCCATTTCCCCCTCTCAATGCCCTCACAAATAGGTGCTTACAGCCTGTATATACTCAAGCCTAAAACCTGAACCCCGAAACCCTTAGCCTTAACCCCTATATAGCCCTAAAGATCCCCTAAAGGAGCCCAGAAGACCCCTTAAAGGAACCCGGAACCCTAAACCCGAAAACCCGAAAGAACCCTCGACCTGAACACAGAAAGCGCTCTAAGCCCTACATCTAAAGCCTACCTAAAGCCTAAACCCTACACCCTTATACAACCCTATAAATCTTTAAAGGAAGCTAAGCCAAACCCCGAAAAATCCTCCCACTTGAGTGCAGAAAGCGGACTGGCCTCGCTGCCAGAAGATGTTGGTGGATGAGGTGCCCGGACCCAGAGCCTCCCAAACCCCTTAATTAAGGAATATACCTTAAATCATATAAAGGATCCTATTATAATTTAATAGGTATATTCCTTAATTAAGGGATGTTAGAATCCCCTAAACCCAAACCCTATAGATCCCTTATAGATCCCTTAAAGGACCCTAGGTATAATTTAAGGTATATTCCTTAATTAAGGGGTGGATGAGGCCCGGAAGTTGGGGCAGGGTGGCAGGGTTTTAGGGCTTTAGGGCTTCAGGGTTCAGGGTTTAGTTTAGGGTCTTAGGGTTTATAGGGTATATAGGGCTTAGAAATGATTGCTTGCCACGATAGAGAGTGGCATTGAAACAGTATCACAGTACCCCCTTCATAGCCGCTGTATGTACTGCTACTTGCTAGAATCGTGCCCCAAGGCCCTACTCTACTTGTTAAGACCACTATAATATAGCTTTTGCTGAAGTGGCTAACGTGCAGAGCTGCAGATTCAGGGTTCGTCGGCCTAGGATTTTTATAGATCGATCCTACTCTCAACCCCCGGCCCTTAATCAGATCACCCCCCAGACCGCATTTATTTGCAAACCCTCATACACAAGCATCCGGTTCAAGATTATCTCGACCCCGGTTAAGGACTTTTGGGTTTAGTCGCAGCACCCAAGCGAGTCAAAGCACCCTCGAGTCATCACGATCACCCCATTATCACGCTGTGGAAGGTTTTGATTAAGAGGTTGCCTTAACCTACCAGAACCCACCTTTTTTGTAGGCTCCCTATAGATCCCATATTAGGGTGTATAGTAAGAACCTACAAGCAAGTAGGGTTTAGTAGGTCTATATTGTTTAGGGCATTCATGCCAAGCACCCGGATGTCAAGAGCTTATACTATCCGACGACTCAAACGCAATGAGCTTTCCCTACTGATCGCAACGTCTTCTTGCCCAATAGAATCGTTGGGGTAAGTTGTTGCTTCCGAGCAGTTCTACTATAGATGTACCTTCAAGTCCTACTCTAAGTCTAAGCGCCCTTCGACACTTTCGCTTTCTTGGATGCTCCAGATCCCGAAACCCCCTACAACGCGACACTCCAAACCCGAAGCTCTAAACCCGCCAAACCCTATAGGATGTTCCCTTTTCCGTCGGGTCCGGGGGGCCCCCAGGGATTTGTTTCCTCCGTCTTGAACTACGACGCCAAACAGCTCGATGAGGCTCCCGTCTGGGTTCATCGTCGCTTCCTGAGTTTTGGGGCCTTGAGGCTAAAAAGGTTTAAAGTTGTCGGGTTTCGGTTAGAAGCTGCCCCCACCCTGTAATAAGGATTATATTAGGGCCCTTTTTTTATATTCATATTATACCACTATTACGGGGTGGGGGGCCCCTTCTAAGGTTTCGGATTTCGCGGTTTTGAGACTGTAGGGCTTCGTGGGCTGGAGATTGAGGGTGAGGCGGGGACCTGTTTAATGTGGTCATAGACATCGAATTTGTTCCCTGCCGCGGTATGCAGTGCAGTGCAAGAAAAGGGGTTTCCCAATGTTACTATCCTGAAGGACCAAATGACCCTTAAAAGTAGGGGCCCTATACCCATACTATGAATCCCTATATGGTCTATGAACCTTAAACCCTTTTAGGGTTCATTTCGTCCTTGAGGATCTATGTGGGCTTCGCCAGATGGTATATGTGACACACGGTACTTAGAGGATCATGGGACTTAGTAAGTAGGTTATAACTGGGGTTATAAGTCCCCTAAGTGGGGTTATCCTAATTATAACCGACTTATAACCCTACTTACTAAGTCCCATGATCCTTTAAGTAACCCCTAAACCCTAAACCCTATAGATCCCTTTAAGGAACCCTTGTAGATCCCTTTTAAGGAGCCCTTTAAGGAACCCTAGTTACTAAGTCCCATGATCCTTTAAGTAGACTCGAAGCCGAAGCTTTTTTGCGGCAGTCCCATCCATCGTGTTTTGCAATGAGAAAGCCGGTGCCCCGGAAACCCAGGCCCTCAGTGTATGGGGTGTAGGGGAGATAAGAATCCCAAACATCAAGGTCCCTACTTGCAGGATGCAATAAGGATAGAACGTCGAGTGGTGAAAGGATGAAGCTAGTTAGGCACCTTTTACGGTATATACCCTTTGAGGAACCCTTAAAGGTGCCCTGCCCGCCCTGCCCTTGCAGCGTACGACAGTTCTCTAGATTAAGGTGCCGTACTGTTTCGGGGGCTGAAACAGGGACGCTAATTGGGAGAGTAGATTCGCGGGTTTGCAGTTACAGAAACCCTAATCTAAGCCCTAAACGCCCTAACGCTTCATCCCTATAGTCCCAAAAAACCCCTTTCCTGAACTAACCTTAAATCCTGTGGAGGCACCTGCCGTGGCCGCTCACGTTGCAACAGCGTACTTGGGCCTCTCCACGGGCACCTCTGCGGCACCGGCTCCAGGCCCGCCTGTGGGGCTCCTTTGAAGGGTTCCTTTGAAGAGATCCCCTAAAGGATTTGTGGTGTTTTTTTTCCGGGGATGGGATGCAGGGGCGGGTTCTCGTGGCGCCGAGGTTTAGAGTGTAATCAAGGCTGCCCTAGTCAGTCTGCCTCGAATAGGTTCTGTTGCAGTTCGTGCATGGTGTCTCGCGCGCCGCACAACTCTAAACCCCAAACAAAACCAGGCAGCACGCACTCGAGGCAGATTGGCGAGAGTTAGGAATGAAACATGAGCTTCAGAAAACCGGGGAGCGTAATATGGCTGACTAGATAGTAGGACCTCTAACACATGGACCCCTTGTTAATCTACCATATAGGAGCCGGAATGACAGGAATAGTCCCTTGCTTCGTCTTGTGGGTCATAACCGTTCATATCCTATATTTAAACACGTAGCCCTATTCGGGTTAGGATATACACATATGTATATACATATGTATATATATATATATATATATATTTATTTATTTATACACATATGTGTATATGTATAGCAACCCAACTAATGTGGCGGTCGGTTTAGTGATAGGGTACCCCCCCCCCCGACCAAAACTTTTTGGTCTCTTTAATTTGGTACCGGTAGCCCCGGACAGGGGTCAGGGGTCTGAGTGGCAGGGAATTGGGAGGTGCCGGGGTTTGGCGGGTTGGGTGCAGGGTCTGCGGTTCTGCGCGACTGCGCCGTCGGGGGTCGGGGGGGTCTGGGCCAGCGCCTGAAACCCTAAACCCTGAACCCTAAACCCTAACGAATCCTAAACTCCTAAACCCTATAACAAACCCTAAACCCTAAGCCCTAAACCCTTCCAAAGGGGGGTCGGTCCAGATTGGACCCAAAACTGAATTTTTTATGCAAACTTTAGTACTGGAGAGGCCTCTTTTGAGCTAGGGTCCAATCCCCCCCCACTAATCAAGGTATACTAGAATAGTACAGTAGTAGTACAGTAGTAGTATAATAATAGTGCAGTAGTACAATAGTAATACAACAGTAGTACAGTGGTAGTACAATAGTAGTACAGTAGTAGTGCAATAATAGTACAGTAGTACAATAGTAGCACAATAGTAGTACAGTAGTAGTACAGTAGTAGTACGATTATAGTACCGTAGTACAATAATAGTACAGTAGTAGTACAGTAGTAGTAGAATAGAAGTGCAGTAGTACAATAGTAATACAACAGTAGTACAGTGGTAGTACAATAGTAGTACAGTAGTAGTACGATAATAGTACAGTAGTAGTACAGTAATAGTACAGTAGTAGTACAGTAGTACACTAGTAGTACAGTAGTAGTACCACAGTAGTACAGTAGTACAGTAGTAATACAGTAATAGTACAGAAATAGTACCAATAAGCAAAGCATAAAGCCAGTGAGCACATTCCCCCAATAAGCAAAGCATAAAGCCAGCGCCTGAAACCCTAAACCCTGAACCCTAAACCTTAACAAACCCTAAACCCTAACGAATCCTAAACTCCTAAACCCTATAACAAACCCTAAACCCTAAGCCCTAAACCCTTCCAAAGGGGGGTCGGTCCAGATTGGACCCAAAACTGAATTTTTTATACAAACTTTAGTACTGGAGAGGCCTCTTTTGAGCTAGGGTCCAATCCCCGATTCGGCGGTTCACCCTAGCAGCCCCCCCCAATAAGCAAGGCATACAGTAGCAGTACAATAGTACAATAGTAGTACAGTAGTAGTACAGACTCCCATTCCTGACGCCCCAATAAGCGAAACAATTCTGCAAGAGATTTTGGGGCTTCAGGGCCAGGGTTTTAGGGTTGGGTGTGGGTTTGGGTGGGGGTTTAGATCGTGGCTGCCTTAAGATTGACCATCAGCAAATAGCACAGCCCCGCCACCAAAAAATCCCCCCAGCCAAAAAAAAACGCATTAATTAGACCACCCCCAAAAAGGGGCGACCGGTCGGAATTAGCCCCGGAAAAAACGCATTAAAAGAGCCCATATTCCTAAACCGACCGGCACATTAGTACCCTCACAGAGATGCCCCGTTTTCGATTCTGGAAGCCCCAAATGCTTTCCAAGAAAGCAGCGGAAGCTTACTACAAAGGTCCTGCATCGATCTTGCATATAAAGGCTAGTATGGAGGTCCCACAAGGATCCTCCAAAAGGGCCCTAGGAAAATCCGAAGTTTCTTCGAACTTTCGCTTCTGGTCTCTGAGCTGGAGGTGCTTCCGCAAAGCCCGCGCTGCGCCGTAGTGCCACGGTGGGGCGGGAGATGAACATCATTTGGGATCCGGAACACCCACAAGGGTCCGAAGTACCTATGGATGGTAGAAGGTGTGGGAATCACGACTATGGTTTGGAAAGGTATCGCCCATACAGGTACTTAGGACCCTTTGTGCACCATGAACTTCAATGGTTTACGGGGGTTAAGGGTTTAGGATCCCCGTTTTCGATGCCTAAGCTTCTTGTCTTTCGTAAGGCTTGTAGCACAAGACCGACACTCAAGATCTCTCTTTCGAGCTGGGTGTCTTCACGGATATCTGTGGATTAGTTCGGGCTACAGAGTTGTCAGCTAGAAGTTGCTTCGTGTACTGGAAGCAGTGGCACTGCTTCCAGTACACGAAGCAACTTCTAGCTGACAACTCTCAGTAGTAGCTACCACTGCTGCTATTACGACCTTTGGAGTTTTGGGTTTGTCGAAGGTCGCGAAGACCTGTGCTTCTACAACCGAGAGACCTCAAAGACACCCTAAAGCCTCAACCCTAAACCTTAAACACCTAAACCATAGACCTCAAACCTCTACACCCTAAACCCCAGACCTCAAAGACCTGCATCCTGTGATGTCTCGCCTGAGCAGGTTCCCGTGAAAGCACCCCTGGAGCTCGCCGCAGTTGCGAGGGCCTCTGCACCCTGTGAGACGCTGCTGCGCTGGGTCCAGGACGGTCTTGGCTTCAGGCCCTAAGGGTCCATGTACCCAAATAGTATATACTTTGGCCCCAATGTACCTATATAGGGACATTTAAGGCCAACCCCTAAACGCCGAATCCTGTTCCAGTGCTCGGAGGATCTGTAGTTTGTTATCTTGACTTTTCGGCACGTCGAAGCCCCCAAAGCCTGTTGGGTTCTGGCAAGAATATTGCATGCCGTGGTCCCATGTGACATGGAGCCTATGGTTTTGGGTATGTTGAGGTAAGACAGGGGCCTCAATAATTACCAATACTATTTTGGGGGTTCCTTAGCATAGTTATAGTATCATATACCCCAAAACCCTTTTCCAATTGTTCAGGCCCCTATATTGGATCTTTTGTAGCAGCATGGGTTCCAAGGCTTCAAGGGCTTTGAGGTTTGGTGTAGGCGTCCGCGGCTTTGAGGTTTAGGACATAGGGTTTGGGGTTTCGGGTTCAGGGTTTGGGGTTAAGGGGTTTATAGGGTTCAGGATTTCTTTTGAAGCATACTTGAATGTAGAATACACAAAACATTGAAAAGGAAACCAAAAGCCCCTACCTGCCCCTATGCTACGAAGGAGCTCGTTGTGGAGCACGTGTCCCGTCTCAAGCTCCAGGAAGTCTGCTCCGACATGTTTGCGCGGAAGGTTTCAATCATAGGTAGCCGTCAGGCCGAAACCACTGAGTTGAGTATTCAGCTGAGCCCAACAACCCTAAAGCTACAATTCGTGTGAGTGTGCAGGGTTTTCCAAGCCGCTTCGCTTGTGCCACTTCACTTCGTGTCATGTCGTTTCAGAGGGCAGTTCGGATTGGACCCAGGATGGCGAAAGGCCCGAAAAGCTGAAGCCTGGGCCGTAAACCCTGAAGCCTACAGTCGAGTTTGTTTGTGAACTCTGGCACGGGCCCAGATCTCAGCGCTTTACCTTGCTGGATCGTACCCGAAACCCCCAGCCCTCAACCATAAGCCTTTTCCGAGCTCTGATGCGTCAATGTTTGCATCCCGACTGGATCTCGTAGAGGAGCCTCGCATTTCACGATGCTGAGGGTGACGGGTTTTGTGGATTATAGAGGGTTTATAGGAAACACACAAATCCTGGAGCCTCCAACTCCCCGCTCATACACGCGCAATACCCGCTATTGAGGACCATAAGGGCTCTTTGAAAGGGCCCTTGGGGGTAAACCCTAAGCAAACTCATAAACCCTAATAACCCTGAATCCCCCAAAAGATGAGCCTTAAACCCTTATAGAACCCTATAGATCCCTTAAAGGAGCCCTGTAAATTAGCCCTATAGATCCCTCACAGCAGCCCTATGTGGGAGTTTCCGAAAACAGGGGACCCTACTATAGTACCCTAAATAGTAGGATCCTCCGTATAAGGACCCCAAGTAAGGTACCCCTAATTTTTGGAAACTCTATTTTATTAGAACCCTTATCGATCCCTTGAAGGAACCCTTATAGATCCCTTTAAAGGTACCCCTAATTTTCGGAAACTCCCATATGAGCTCCAGGATCCTTTGCAATGAAAAAAGTTCGAACCCCCTTATAGAGCCCGAGAGACCCCCTAAAGGAGCCTAGGATCCAGAGTAGGCCCTTACTCCCTTTTTGAGGGTTTAAGTTCCCTTATAACCCCCTTTAAACCAAAAAGGGCACCCTTTATATTCCTAGGTTACTCTTAGGTCTAGGAGCTCTATGAATTCGAGGATCCTCTGCAGTGCCAGGCGCTCCGCTCCGCGGAGGCCAAAGCCGCAGAAGCCGAGGCCGCGGAGGCGAAAGCGGAGGCGGACGTCGCCGAATCCGAGGTTCGGCGGTTTAGGGTTTAGGGTCTAGGGTTTCAGGGCTTAGGGCTTAGAGGGTTTATGGTTGAAGTTCGGGCCTCGTTTCGGTGTCCAGGACCCCCCCTTGTACCCTCAAATAGGGGTATATGGTCCCAAATAAGGGGCATTTAGGGTCTAACAGGGTTTCGGTTTGGCGGTTTAGGGTGTTCAGGGTTTGTGGCTTTAGGGTTTTAGGGTTTCGGGTTTAGGGTTTGGAGTTTCGGGTTCAGGGTTTAGGGAGGGTCTTGTCTGTTAGTTTCTGTCTGTCTGTGTGTGTGTGTGTGTCTGTGTTTGTGCTTGCGTTTGCGTATGTGTGTGTGTGTGTGTTGTTGTTTTGCTTGCTCGTTCTTGTCACCTGTGTGGCTTTACGGTTGTTGTATGCTTTCGTGTTTTCGTGGATTTGGGGTCGAGGTTGTTTTGACTTTCTTCTTGTCGGTGGGTCTAAGATAGGGTTGGTTTGATCCGTCGTTTTTGCTGATGGATTTGGGGATTCAGATGTAGATTGGTGTAGGTTTGCAGATTTACGGTTCAACGTCTGGGTTGAAGCCCAATGCTTCAGGGCTGAGGGCATTTTAGTGTGAGGGTATTTAGAAGGGCTTGCAAGGTTGTAGGGCTAGGGGCGTATAGGGCTTATGGATGTGAGTTTGGGGTTGCGGCATCACTGGGTTACAGGGAACTCCAGAAAGTTGGAATATGGTTTCTTGGTAGGATACCCGATAATTTACCATAGAAGGGTTAGGATAATCATATTCCAACTTTCTAGCTTTTACCTTACTGGGGTAATTAGGGCTCTAGGGTTTCAGGGTTTTGCGCTTCCAGGCTTTACAGTTGAAGCTGAGTTTGGGACCGAAGGTTTCAGAATTTGGGATCTTCGGGCCTTTAAGGGCTTTGGGGTTGGATCCGAGCATGGCCTTAAGGGTGAAACTAAATAAAATTACCCTTAATGGCTTCGAGGTTCAATTTCAAACAAGGGACTTATCTTATACGAGGGGTAGGGGCTCGTAATCATTCGTCTCGCAGGAAAGGGGCATAACGGGGTTCGGGATGTGGAGATAGTTTAACCCGAGCTTGGAGGACAAGAGTCCTCTATCACCTGCTTCTGCAGGTCCTCGTAATATGACGCAACCCTAAGCCATCCTAAACCCTAATGATGTAATTCCTTATGAATATCGGTGGTTGTCAATATTAGGATACTTTTTGGGGTCCCTGTTCTTATGCGGCACCTCTTATTTTGAGGTAATTACAACTGCCCATATCAGTTCTGAGCAACATGAGCTCTTGACTCCTAGAGCTTTGGAGGCTCGCACTGGGGCTTGGGTCCCTAAACACGACTTATAGTCTCCATTCTAGTTATTCGTTTTTGCTTAGAGTTGGGACTACTATAGACCATAAACCCCTAAAGCCCTAAACCTAAACCCCTAAACCTTAAACCCTATAGACCCTAAACCCCTATAAAACCCCCAAGCCCTAAACCCTAAACCCCTAAACCCTAAACCCTATAGACCCTAAGCCCTATAACCCTAAACCCTAAACCCTGTAGACCCTAGCCCTAAACCCTAAACCCCTAAACCCTAAACCCCTAAATAGACCCAGTGCTCTAGAACCCCGAGCCGGCTCGGCAGGCCAGTCTGGGACGGCTCAGGGACGCACTCTCTGCGGAGGACGGTTTAGGTCTTGGGGGGGTTAGGGGTTTGGGATTTATAGGGTTTAGGTTTTGGAGAGTTTAGGGGTTCGGGGGTTTGGGATTTAGGGTTTAGGTTTTAGAGTGTAGGGGTGTTTTGGGGGTTTGGGATTTAGGGTTTCGGTTTTACAGTTAAGGGTTTAGGTTTTTCGGTTTGGGGGCTTATAGGGTTACTAGGGTTTGAGGTTTATGTCTAGAAGAAGGGCTGGGGATGTAGGATTTCAAGCTTTGTGTTTGGGGTTTTGGGTGTTTTAGGGATAGGGGTTTAGGGTTTACAGGATTTGGTTGAGGTTCGGGGGTTCTTTCTTTTAGGCTTCAGGGTTTGGGGCTTAGGGTTTGCAGGAGTTGATTGTGGTGTAGGGTTTGAGGTGTTGGGTTTGGGGTTTCGGGTTTGGTATTTGGCAGGTGCCGTTGCGGCAGATGCAGCATTTTAAGACCGATAGGTATTTGTACATGTTTGTTGAGGTGAGAAGGACGCAGCTTTCCTCCGGGGCTTCGTCGGGAGTTGCTGTAATATGTAATCAAAAATCCTTGCCACGAAGGCAAACGGCAAGGTCCCGGCTGGCGTGTTCCAAAATAAATACAGTTAGGAGACAGGAGCCCGAAGGCAACTGCGAGCCCGCTATGAGTCATATTGACGATTTGCTTTGGGACCCACTTCCGCGAACAGACTCCCCACTCATAGAGTGACCTCTGTCGAAACTTTAAACCCCTAAACCCAACACCCTAAACCCTGAAATGACATAGCTTTTCCACAAGTCTTCGATAGGACGCCCTGCAACGACCTTTCGTCGCATGACCGGAGCCTTTGTCGAGACCTCCTCACATAGCTTTTTCATAAGCCCCTTCAAAATCCCATGCCACGACCCCGATAAATCGATCGACAACAGCTAGCTTCTAGTTTATGAGTTGAAGATTTGAAGGTTTAGGGAGTGAGTGTTGAGGTGCATTTGTGTTTGAAAATGACGGCACCTGACAGGGATGTTGGTTTCTGAGGGGCAGCGAAGATCACCAACCCCTGAACCCCAAGCCCGCGAATCTCTATTACCTCAAAACCCTGGGCTCGAAGCCCCAAGCACTCAATGCCAAACCTACAATGCATCAGGTTCTGTGCTATTGAAAAGAAACCATTCTCGTAATGGCTCAGGGATACTCTGCCACCGACGGAGAACCTCGGCGCCCAACTGCTAACGGAGTTTGTCTCATATATAGTTTCAGGATTAGTGTTATGGGGCTCAGCTGTATATATGCGCAACTACATGCTGCTGTTGCCCCTTATATTTGTAGTTGCCATTCTCCTGCTGCTGAAACTTCAGGAAGCAGCTTTGGCAGCCTTGATGGCAGAGAAGGTGGCGGCAGAGAAGGCCGGGAAAAAGGGTGGCGGGGGGGGGGAAGCTGTGTGTGTTTTTGTGTATATATTTATATATACATATATATATATATATATATATTTATATATATATATATATATATATATATAATATGTGTGTATGTATATATATATATATATATATATATATATATATGTTTTTCTGTTTGTATATACATATATATAGAGGGTTGTGTGCTCTTGCTCTGCTGCCGCGGCTGTTTGCCGGGATCGTGCGATGTCCCCAACTCTGTATCGGAGTGTTTTCTTCCGTTCAACTTGCTAGTATCATCCGCTGCAACAGCCAGTGGTGTGTCGAGGCTGCAACCTCGTTCATACTTATGCGGATCCGTTGTTCCCTGTTAGTTCCAAGGCCTTGTTCTGTTTACATTATACCATACCCGCCCAAAAAACTTTATCGTAACTATAGTTTCAAACTAGAGAGACTCACAACTTCATTTCAATCAAAGAACCTGGAACCTGAATCCTTCACCTCTGAACTTGAACCGACAGCTACCATGGGTCCAGGCTGTCCGTGACCTTCGCAAGTTGGAAAGCTGGTGCCCCAGTTCAGGGAGCCAAAAAGCACATAAGCATAAGCATTTTATACGGATATCCCTACCTTATTGGGCCTTATTATAAGGGGGTTTATATGGGATATCCCTATCCTAATGTTGGCTTACGTGCTGTTTTGGGGCCCTACCAGTGGGGTGCAGGTACAAGAATTGGAGAGTCGGCCTCGGGGTGTATGGTTTTGGACTTTGGGATTTAGGGCTTAGGGTGAGGAACGTCCTTGCTTCAATTAGGACTATTTCTGGTGTGAGTGAGTGATTCACATTTTCGCCACCCCGTCGGATCTCTTTTGGCCTTGTTCGCCTTTGTAGCATATAAGACTTGGAGGACTCATTATTATTGTAGCCCTTGCTGTAATTGGTATAATCTTTGTAGTTTTTAAGACTTGGAGGACTCATTATTGTAGCCCTTACAGTAATGACTATAATACGTGTCCCTTATATAGTACTTCAAGTTATGGTTGTGGTAGTCCTTGTCGTAAGCATTCGAGTACCGACACAGCATTGATTACATGGCAGTCCTTATTGTAATGGTTGTATGGTAACCAGTACATGGTAGCACTTGCAGCAGGGCGCATTAAACACTGCTGAATGCTTACGATGTATTGTAGAGGTCTGAATAGTTATACACACATATGAAGATTCAGGCAAACGCTGCAGATACCAGGGGCTTGAGCGTTTGACTAGGGCTTGGGTATGTTAAACTATAGCCTCTTGAGAGGAGTCCTTATCAACTTGCAGGCTTTTGTATTTGATATGCAGGTTTCCAGTATAGTAAACCCCAAAAAGTTGGAAACCGGATGAAGGACAAATAGTGCTAGGATTCCCTATACATTACTCTTAAAGATTGAGGCTATTGGGTTTCCAACTTTTGGGCTTCTACCGTAAGAGCTTCAGAAAGCTAAAACCTGGAAATGCCAGGGATCCCGAACCGCCCGACAAGTGAAACTCCATTCATGCCTTATGGATTGGGGATTGCAGAGTTGTGTGTTTAGGGTTTTTAGGGTTTTTAGGGTTTAGGGTTTTTAGGGTTTAGGGTTTGAGGTTTGTGGTTTTGGAGCCCTTGGCTGTGCGATAAATGACCTTCTCAGCGCTAATCCCCTCTGTCAGCTTCAGATGTTCCTCAAACGTTATCTTCCAAACAGGTTCAGTCATGATCTTGGAGTCTAGGGTAGCGCAAAGTGATTTCACATCCTAGCAGGCCGTGTTCCAAGCTGTCCTGCATTTCGGGTTAGCAATTTTGCTATGACGGCAACAGGGCTGCAGAACCTTTAGGGTTTTGAGGGTGGGGTTCAGGGGTTTAGGGCTCATAGTTTAAAGCGTTTTGGATTTCAGAATTCTGGGTGAATGGGGTTAGGGCTCCTGAATTCCCCTTTCGCCCTTTGTATTTCAGGCTTCTCTTCCTGAAGTCAAACAGTACGAACACGATTGATTACCTACCCTTACTGTTTCGGAGCCCAGGTTCTCACAAGTTGTCGGGTTTTAGGGCCATGCCCAGGTCTTGGGACCGTGACGCCAAAGGCTGCGCCGACCGCGGCTCCCGCCTCCAGGTTCCGGGACCTCGACCAGCTTGTTTCGCCTGGGGTTTATAAGCATATGCTTAGTCTCCTTAGGAATTATGTGTTTTTCATGTTTGTTCATATCAAACCCAAGAGAATATTAAACATGTTTTGTTGATTATGGTTCTAAGTGGGGTATAGTATAGGTTTATTGACTTCGCCCAGGGGTTTAGCGTTTCTCGGGTATAGGGTTAGGAGACCCTGCCGAAGGTAATTCTCTGGATCTACACGAACTGAACAACGACCGGATGGCATAAGATCTTGAAGGTTCGAGAACCTCTTGCAGCATACTAGGGGGGGGTCTTAATAATCAGAATAAGATTTTGGGGATATTATACTATAACTATGCATAACAAGGAACCCCAAGACAGTATTGGTAATTATTTAGGCTCCAACATTAAACCTCAAGCCCCTTCAACCGATTTACTCACATTCAAGCAACCACAATAATCCCAGAAGCTTGAACCCATGACTGGAGACTGTTTGCAAAGGCTTGGGAAAACTGCCCATCAGTGCCACACTCTACCCAGCTCGGTAGGACAATCAATGGCTGTTCCTGAACGTTTCGAGCGGGAAGGTTTGACCGAAGTACAAATTCGGAGCCCTGAGCCTCATAACCTTGTAATCTCTAGCACACAATGACATGAAGAATGATGTTAACAGTAACCAGCACAATTTTGCAAGCAGGCCATGACCCTCTAGAAGTGTCGCACTGGGAGAACCTAATATAGCTGCTTAAACAATTCGCAATGATTACTCTGGTTTCTTAGGTTCGCTACACATGAAACTAGTACAATGTCGTATCATCTACCCCGGCACCCAACCCTATTCTAGCTATCAAGGCCCAACCATTGGAAACCTTTGCAATAGCCCTCAACACCACGTAATAGAGGCTGGGAAGTTCAATATTCTTCGCAGGGTTCAGTACTACAACCATGTTACGACAAGAAGGACACAAAAGTGCGGCAACTCGGAGATTACAGCACACACACACACACGGGCACAAGCACTTGCTCTTTTTCTGAGATGCTGCGTACAAATCGGGCGTACTTACCTCCTTTCGCAGGTGGAACACCAGAACTTGAACTTGAGCAGTATGGTGTTTTTTGTATTGGGAATCGAGAAAATGATTTGAATCCTTCCCCATATGTAGCCGCGTTTCCTGCTCACTGACTTGTTCTCTCCCAAAATGGGACTTAACTGAAGCCTTAGTTTTTGCATTGATGGCCGCTTAGCGGACAATGGCAAAAACTTAGAATTGAGCGCTAATACGTAAGTATAGTCTTATGAGCACACCTGTTGCAGATACACGGCCCATCCCTAACCATATATATATATATATATATATATATATACAACAATTTCTTGCATGACGCAAGTTACTCTTGCAAAATGGACGTCCTTGTCCCCACTTGAGATTTGGAATGTCTTAAAACCGTCCAGACCACGATCCCTGAGAACCACATCACCAAACAAAAGTTTCCGGAAAAAGGGGACCCTAATATAGCACTTTGGATGGATCCTCATTAGAGGGACCCACGAAGAAGGTACCCCAAATTTTCGGAAACTCCCAAATCTAAAGCTACGCTCGAAAGCAATTTCTAATCGAATTCTTGAGAGCGACCTTCGTACACGTGTGCTCAAGGCGAGTTTAGGCTCCTAATATACCCAGACCCCCGGGAGGATCCAGGAAGTAGATCCCCCAATTTGGGCCCTATACTACTAAGGGTACTTTATAGGAACCCCCATTACGTCAGGGATCTACTTTTTAGATCCTACCGGGGTCTGGGTAGGGGTCTAAACAATTGTGACGATCCCTAAGGGTCCATGTGCCCAAATGGGTGTTTGTCAAAATTGCGCTCCCTTTTTAGGTCCCTATTATAGTACGGCACCAAATATTTAGGGTGCCCAAAAAGGGGCCACAATTTTGACAGCCACCCAAATAGTGTATACTTAGCCTTATAAAGTACTCCCTATCTAGGTACATGGGGCCAAAGTATATACTACTTGGGTACATGGACCCTTAGGGAATACTATTCTGGGGCTTTTTTTTATGATTACAGTATAATGGGCCCCCCAAACCCTATTCTAAAAATTAAGGCCTCTGTACTAGGCTCCTAATGAAGCCTGTGTGTGCTCGAAGAAGATGCACCTTTCAGCTGGGCCGCGGAACATCGCACGTAGATTTTCCTGTCCGTGGGATTTTCCTCTACAGTTGCTTGATTCCTGGTCTTCGAAGCATGACTCGTCTCTGCAGCATATTCATGGAGTTATATCCAAACTTTGTCGAATGCTTAATGTAAGTTACCATAATGAGGAAACCCAGCATTTGCTGTACATATATACCCTAAACCCTATACACCCTAAAGCCTACACCGTTCATACATAAATAAAATATGTTATACATGCATGCATATATATATATATATATACGTATGAAAGTTCACGCGATGCACAAGTCATTTGAAGCTTGGCTCGTCTCAGGCTCGGGTCTGCAGACGCCGCAAAACCTAACTCCTATTTCTAAGGCCCCAAATGTAGGGTTTAGGGTTTAGGGTTTAGGATTTTTAGGGTTTAGGGTTTAGGATTTTTAGGGTTTAGGGTTTAGGATTTTTAGGGTTTAGGGTTTAGGCTTAGGGGCCTTTCATAATTAGAATAAGGTTTCCGGGGGGTGGGGGGGGTCCATATTATAGCTTTAGTATACTATACCCCCGAAGCCTGTTCTAACTACTAGTGAAGGCCGTAAATCAGGACCCAGTTCCAATTATTAAGGCTCTTAAGTTGCATCAGCCCAGGCCGCCAAAGAGGAGCCCTGAGATCGAGCCGCCGCCCCAGAGCTTGGGAGCTTTCTGCCGGAGGGAGAGAGTGCAGGTTCTAGGGTTTAAAGGTTCACGGTTTGAGGATTAGGGTCGTTTTGCGGTTTAGGGTTTTTTCAGTTTCGGCATGTGTCTTTTGGAAATCCGCTACTCCAGTTGCAGTCTTGCCCCAAGTGCTGCTAGGTGCTTTCACAATCCATGCATCGCAGCGTCGGATTCGCACCCAACGCGGGCTCAAAGGCCGACAAGGTTTAGGCGATAGGCAAATCGTCAATACTGCTTCCAGGGTTCCTGAATCTAACTGTAGTGCTAACCTTCTCCTCCCTGGTAAACCCTAAGCTCTTAAACCCTAAACCCCGCGGCCCTAAACTCTTGTTGGATTGCAGAGATCCTTGGGTCACCCCTAACTCGCCTGCCATTCTTTAGACCCTCTTTTAGCCCTGAGGCCTCTAGTCTTTTCCCAAAGGATCCAAAGTACTTATATAGTAGGAATGTAGGGTTTCTATACTAAGGATTACTACGGTTGATGATATAAATCCTGCATGACCCATAATAAGGAATATACCATAATTCCCATAGTTTAGGGTCCTTAAGGTGATGCAGGATTTATACCATCAACCGTAGGATGATTTGGGGAAGTATCCCCCATAGCTGCACCTAGGATCCTGCAGGTTTTGCGCCCCAAGCCCGAATCTGTAAAGCTTGCACCCTAGGACGTGAGCCCTAAACCCTGGATATGAATCCCCAACACCCCGAAGCCTAAGCACTGAAAATGAAGCTTAAGCCCCTAAAGTTTCAGCCCTAAGCCTTCAGTTTAGGGTCTAGTTACTTTGAGATCCAAAAGTGTGTCGCATGTAAGCGGACTACAAGGAAATCGAATCCAGAAACTCTGAAACTTGGAGGAATTCTGGGGTGTTACGAGTGACCCAATTGGGATGTCAGGCTTCTGCCTGAACCCTGAACCCTAACCCTGGTGGATGTCGCGCTGGTGAGGCTCAGTGGAAATGCTTGTGTTCTACATGAAACTTCGCAGATCCGGGCATAGCATGACAGTGATGGAGAGGTTTGTTAAGGATGAGACCCTTCATTCTTGTTTTGGGGGCCTGTCTTGAAACTAAGGATGCTACCACTTAGTCTAGGGGTTTATATACTACGGCTTCTGAATTTCTGAAACCCCCAACCCTAAACCCTCAACCCTGAACCCTGCAAGCGTTGAGGCTGGAAGTCAACAGCACGTTGGCTGTCGTCGAGCAGAAGTACCTGCCCAAGCTCTCGGATATCAGACCTACAAAAGAGTTTTGGGCTTAGGCTGTACCTTAACCTGGAATAGCATGGCTTTTTAAGGCTTTGTATAGAGACATCATAATAAAGAGCCCTAAAGAGGTAGACTATTCAGGGTGAACGTAGGGTTTAGGATAACAGAACTACATAGTTTAAGGCCCTGGGATCTCGGACTTCGGCTTTCAGTTTAAGCTGGAGGGTTTCGGGTTTAGGGCTTAGGGTTAGAGCTCACGTTTGGAGCTCGAGAAGTCGGGACAAAGGCACATGGGTGAATCTCTAGGTTTGGGCCCACTTGCTAGAGTTCGGAATAGAGTATGATAATATATAACATATAAAATAATATGTGAGTGAGGCCTTGCGTTGGTCCTTGTGTTGGGGATCCGACCGTCAATGTATTGCATGGTAGTTGGCTTTCTACAAGGAGCTGACTTAGTACTGTTTACTGGCATCCCGTTATGTTATACACTCCTAGCTTTATACAGGGTTTGTCGAACCCAACGAAAGCGTCGAAACGGTCCTCGAAGCAATTCCTGTTCATGTGTGTCGGCTCCGTTACCATTACACTGATGTTTTTTGGGACTACCGGTGTATGGTTTGGTAGTCGAAGGAGCCGAACATCCAAGCAACTCGGGCCCACTCAAGCTCCTCTCTTCGCCGCAGGTTGTGCTTGCAAGGAAAACCGAAGACCAACCAAGCGTAGTTCCATCGGAACTGGACTTCTCATTCCCTAAACTGCCCAACTCTGAACACTGATGCCCCGAGCCTGAACCCCTATATCCATCCTATTTCCTCATCCCTGATCCCTAAACCCCTAAAACGGTGGACTCCAAAACCCCTGCCCGGCGAGCAAGATAGCCTCCGCAACATGTAAGCCGAATCCCTACTGCCACACCCCCGGGCGATTCCCTCTAGGCGTGTGCATTAAATTGCAAACTAATTGCGAACTGCCCCCCCCCCCCCCCATGTAAAGGGTTAGGGAAGTTTACAGTTGAGTCTGTTCTCTTCTTCTGCGCAATGGGCTCGCCAAAACGCTTCTGGTTGCTAGCCATCCTCGCCGCTGTTGCTCCTGGACAGCAAATGCAACGGCTCGGTGGTTTAAATCCTAAATCCTACACCTCTGGTCTGGATTGGTTTGTACGGTGTAAGACTACCTAAAACCCTAAAATGCATTTCGAAGTTCAAAGCCCCTGAAGGGATTGGATGAGAGCTTCACCAGGTCTTTTGGACAGCAGCGTTGTTGTCAGCTTGCTTTTATTGTTAGGATGATCCAATAATTGGAGGCTAACCCTAAGGGTCCATTTACCCAAATCGTATATACTTTGGGCCTAATGTACAGTACTTTATAGGGCTAAGTGTATACTATTCGGATACATGGAGCCTAAGGGTAAGGTAGCGAGAAACTGGCACTCCGGACTCTTCCCCGAAGCCCTAAACCGTTTTGTGTGCCGGATGCTTGGAGATAAGTTTCAAGTCAGCTCCCCGAATAAGACACCATCTACGCCAAAGCAGGAGCTGCATTGATAAGTCTGACTAGCTGAGCCTGCCAGCATTGGAGTCTGCTTAGACCCGCCAGATTCGTAAGCTTCCCTGTAATTTCAAACAGAGAGGGTTAAGAAACGATACTTCCCTACCCTCAGCATTCGCAAGCGATCCGATGTATCCCAATGCCAGACACCCGATTCTGTTTTGCGGGCTCCATACTGTACTTATAGCATAATCTACTCCAAAACCCGGTTCTAATTATGAATAAGCCCCCTATATTCGCTTCAGACTCGTTTCCTCCTCGAGGTTGCTTCTGGGATCCTGTGCTACCCCAAACCCAAAGTCCCAAACCCGCAGAATGAAGTTGCGCATCGCACCGACCCTAGCAACATCCGAACCCCAAACCCTCAAACCCTCGTGCTGGTCAAGGGTTCATTCTGCGAACTCTAATAATAAGGGTTCTTGAGTAATCATCATAAAAGATCTTTTCGGATGTCTTTAAGAATTCCTTTTATGATTCCATGGGGTTTTCCATGGTATCTCCACTATGTTCGGGGTTCCTTATTACAATTATAGTATCGTGGGCCCCATTATTAAGGCCACTGAGGCCCCTATAGTAGGGTTCCTTTCATGATTCCTTGCTTTTTTGTCTATGCTTTAAACCCTAAACTCTAAACCCTTAACCCTAAGCCCTAAACCCTAAACCCTAAACCCAAACCCTAAACCCAAAACCCTAAACCCTAATCCCTAAAACTCGCCTGCTGAGGGCCCGCTTTGTTTCGTCTCGGGGCCCCGGATGCAGGCTCTGCTTGGAACCTACCTATAGTCTCCATTGTAGTTCCTTTTTGGGGTTACCTTTTAGGATCCCTGATATAGACTTGGTTAAACCAAAGAAAGGAACTACAATGGAGACTATAGGTATGGTTGATGATATGGGTAGTTGTCAAACTTAGGGTCTCTGTTTGGCTGCCCTAAATGTCAGGTGCCGTACTATTTTAGGGACCCGAAAAGGAACCCTAATTTTGACAACCGCACATATAAATCCTGCATTTAGTTGAAGGGATCTATAGGGTACCTTTAAGTTTAAGGGGTTCCTTCGAGGGATCTATAGGGTTGTAGGGTTTAGGGATATAAATCCTGCATTACCCATAAATAAGGAATATACCATAATTCCCAGGGCCATTAAGCTGATGCAGGACCCTACGTGGGGGTTTTCGGAACTTAGGGTTCCTTTGAAGGGTTACTATAAGCGTACTATCAGGGGCTCTGTAAGGGTTTAGAGTTCCCGGAAATGTGGGTTCCCTTTTTTGTAAGGTCCTTACAATACGGATCCTACTCTATATTAGGGTCACCTATTGTCGGAAACTCCCAAGTAATGTAGTACCCCAGAGGGTAACTTTTGTTGGGGTTGCTTTAGGCATCTTTTTGGGTGTTGGTTTGGGCTTTTTGTTGGGGTTACTTTCGGGTTTGGGGGTTCAGGTAGACCCTACCCCCTAAACCCAAGCCGTGTTCGCGAGTTTTTGCGGCTTGGTGGCCTCGAGTGGTTTCAGGGGTTGCGGTTGGTGTGGATGTCTTCAGCTCTGTGGACCCCAAACCAACCTTGATGATTTAGGGCTGCAGAAGCTGTCATGAGCTGAAAGGTTGGTGTTTCAGAGTGCAGGAGTGCCGGGTGTCGGGATTTAGTAGTGGGGAGTTGAGGGCTTTTGGGGCCTGCGAGCTTCAATTTGCAAGATCCAGCAGTTTGGGCTTTGTATGTGGGCTTATGGAGGTTTGAGATGGATAGCTCTTTGTGGGAAGTTTAGATGGGGGCGTCTCCAACCCGAGGGCTTAAGCCCGAAGCTTGTAGCTGTTCAGAAGTGCGATGCTGGATCCACGGCTGTGCACGGACATTCGGAGTTCTGGGGCAATTACCGCAGGGACCCGAAATAATTACCAATACTATTTTGGGGTTCCCTTTTTTAAATATAGTTATAGTATAATGGGCCCCATAGCCCTATTCTAATTATGAAGGCCCCAGTATTGGCTGTTTCGGACTCCAGGGTGTCTTGGAGTTAGATAAGCCTAAACCCTAAACCGTTGGCGCTGTGAGATGTGTCGGGGACTTCGGTGCTGTATAGGATCCACACAAAACTTCGGCTCAAAGAAGACCTAACTCGAACCCTACCTCTTAAGGAGATTATGAATATGAGGAAATCGTAATAAAGAGACCCCTAGAAAGCACTAGCGGCATTACCTTTTCCAACGCTACAGTTAAACCCCATAAACCGGTCCAGGAGAGTGCTCGCTTGCACGGCGCGGTTTCGAGGCTTCTTGGATGGGATCAGGGTGCATGGGCGAGGGCTTTAGGGGCCTTAAACCCAAAAGCCATGAAGCCTTAATAATGGGCTACCTCATCCCTAGAAAACCTGCTTTTGTCAGGTCCCGTTATGATGACTTCCTGGATAGAAACCCTTAGACAAGTAGGCTTTTGGTGTTAAGGTTGCGTAGACTTCAGGGGCCGTAATCCGTGCAGCAAGAAGTCCCCAAGTCTGAAGAAGAACTACAGCTCCTAAGCAACTCTTTGAGCCTTAATCTCCCCCGGCTCAAAGACCGTCAGACCGGGAAAGCCCTATGCCCTAAACCGCTTCACAAAAAACGCGGGCGCCAGTTATTGTTCACCCTTCTTCACGAAAAAAACTTCAACCTTAGGGCGGTTTAGGCTTGCGAGCTCGGCCTGACTGGATTTGGGGTTTAGGGACGTTTTTCGTTTGGGGCTGAGAGTTTAGGGTTTAGGCGATGTTGGGAGTTTCTCATGGATCGGGGATGTCGAACCTGTATAGGACGAGGGACTCGTCCCGAAACCCGGGATTATGTAGACCAGGGCTCGCGAAAGCTCGGCTCGAGAGAGAACTAACGAGTTCAACAGAGTGCTCCGGATTGGGATTGATTCTTCCCTTCCGGGTCCAAGTGCCTACTAATCATGTCGTCCACCAAATATTGACCTACGTTGTTACAATCACACAATCACAGACCCGACTGGCTAATTATTGGTTCCTTTGCACCCTCACTCAAGGTTCGCTTCAGAACTGGATTCCGATGTCTAAGGGTTTGAGCCCTGCAACCCTGGGATTCAACCCCCAAAACCCACGCCGTGAGCCCTACGCGCTTAGAGCCTGGAACCTCGAAACCATAAGGCCCTTAACTTGAACCTTCTTTTCTAACCCTAAACCCCGAAGTCCCAAGCCCTCCAAACACCTATTGGGCCATGTAGAAAAGGAGTTCAAACAAAAAGCTTAAACCCAAAGCCCTGAAGCCCTAAACCCCAAACCCTAAACCCAAATAAAACCCTAACCCTGACCCTACGCTCTAAGCAGTACACCCCCTATAATCCCTAAACCCTATTCCCTGAGCCCAAATCCACTTTCACCGGCCAGGCGGGGCTGGGCCGATCCCAACTGGAACTGGGGCTCACCCATAGGCCGGGTCACACGGAAGCCTTCTGTTCAGGGAGCCA